TTATTATTTTATTTAATAAATACTAAATACAATTAAATTTTCCAGGCAAATTTGCCTGGAATACAGTTTAAGGGATAGCTTTATTATTTTTATTTTATAAATTAAAAGTGATTTAATAACTAGATAGGTTACAATAAGTAAAAAATAATTATAAAAATAATTTTCTTTGAAATTTATATAAAATGCTTATGAGTTTTTAGAAAAATAAAAATCTTTAATAAAAATCTATACTCTATTGACTTGTTATCTGATTACGCAGCAATTAAAAACATTTTGCAAAGCTTATTAAATACTATATGTATAAGTTATTGTCTATGAAGTAAGCAATAACTAAAAATTATACCAGATTTGATTTTTAATTATGTTTACCTCCTAGATAACTGATTTATTCACAGGTTCTTATTATACTTCTATATTATTTTTTTAAATTAAAGTTATGTATTTTGTAAATTTAGCTTTACTACAATCATAAATTTTTTTCGTTTTCTTTTTTTTCTTTTTTAACTAACAAATTTTACTTTTCATTAGTAATGTTAACATTAATAATATTAATGTTAATAGTTTAAAATTTTATATATTATTAAAAAAAGTAAAAAAATCAAAAAAATATAAAACTCAGGATTAGCTCAAATCTGAAATTTGGGCAATAAATATAAAAAGATAGTATACTAGGAACTGGAAACCAGTATAAGTCTGGAGCCCATAACAGCATTCAATTAATAGCCCTAACCCCTGAAAAATCTGGTTATGTATATCACAGATCAAAATTTTTAGAAGAGTTACAAACGAAAAATGCTGAAACTACAATTTTGATATTATTATTATAGATGTATCAAAATTGTAATTTCAGTCATCAAAGCACATAAACATGCAAGTCCTCCGCTTTGCTTCAGACAATAAGTATAAATAAAAACTGAAAATAAATTATAATTCTATCTAATTCTGAATTAAAGGTTTGGGTCGTAACTCTAGATAAGTTCTTTTGCTAGTTTTATAAACTGATTTGAGATTAGTTTTGTATAAATATTAATTTGAAAACTGTTTATTATAAGAAAACTTGTACTTAAGAATGCTTGTATATATTATAGATCTTAAAGATAGATTAATACAGTTTGCTTGCAAAGCTACTAAGAAATAGGCTAGTAAAAGTTTCTTACAAAACTAGTAAATTTTTGGTGTATTTTCTTGTGACACTAATTTTATATATTTTTATATACTCTCTATATATTGAATTTTGTATAATCTTTATGCATAAGTAGAACTTCAGACATATTTTCTATAAACTATGCTTTTATATAATCTGGGTTTAAAAATCATATGTAATATATATTATTTGGTAATGAACTTCAAATATATAGTTTATTTTATAATTCAAAAACTGATGAATATTTTATAATATTTTAATATACTAAAAATAAGTATATTCTTGTTTTTATAATCAAATTTTAATTGGGTTAACTTAAAAATATTGTATATTATTTAATTTATACTGATTTATTCTATTAATTTTTTTTTTTTTTTAGTTTTAAAGTGACCTTTTGGTTCTTGTCTTTTTATTCGATTATTATTAACTTTTATAGTATGGTATACACCATACCATACATATATTTGGAAAGTACAACTAGCCACATGTGCAACTTTTGGTTGCCTATTTAAGTAGTCCCCTATTACTAAGTTATACACTAGCTGCTGTACCTATAACCCTATCGAGTTATCTATTTAAACCCTCTGCGGCTATATATATTAATTATCTAACTGAGCAAGAGTACATTAGTACCCTTTTATTTTCAGATCTCTGACTTAGGACTTTAAGACAGATCCATCTATAGGGGTCCTTTGTCTTTGAGGTAAACCTGCTAGAGCTTTCTGTACCCACAATCTGGCTAACCTAGACTTCAGTAATTTACACCGAGTCTAAGAACAAGTACTTGTAAGTCAAAGCCGCTACTGTTACCTACTTCTGCCCTTGTAAAGTTCACTCAGACCCTAGTATACACTTCACAGACAATTACCATTGTTCTTGATTACCAACTGCGTCCCAAACTCCTAATCCAGATGCTTCAGAGTGGATCAGTGAGCATCTTCTAGTATTCTAATTAAATTCTTTTTTTTCATATTATATGCGGCCTGGTTGGTATTAGTGTTTACCAAACACCCAGTCCTCGTTTAGTTTACTGTTAATGTCAGATTGCCGATGACAATCCTTTATATAGTACCATTGAAAGTCTATACTATCTTTCTACTCAGGACTTGCCAAGTGGGCTTCCATATGTCCCGATCTCCTAGATTTACATAGTGTATCACTTATTCGTATAACTCATATATAACACTACTGTTTTGCAACCTCTTAATACAAGCTGGTATGACCAAGATTACAGATGCCGATCTGTCAGATTACACACAGTTTATTATAATGTATCTCTTAAATTCAAATTTCATCACCAGTGGGATTCAAACTCTTAATCTGCCACTTGGGGGTGCGACAACTTACCAACTACACTAAGTCGCCACACCCTATTCATTCTATTAATTATTTCATACTAATTTTTAAAATGATAATATTTTTTATACTAAAAATACTTCTTATTTTCAAATCTAGAATTATCTAATAAGAAAAGCAAAATTAGTAAAATGATAATTATGAAATATATTATTTTAGAAGTTTTGTTAGAAAATTAAGTTATACAAGTAGATATCTGTAGTTTTTAGTATTATATTCAAAGTATCAGCAAATTAAAATTTTTTGACAGTTATAAATTAGAGTTTGTTTTGTAAAATATCCAATTATTATATTAAATTAGTAAATAGTATATGAATTTAAGTTAATGATCATTATTAGAGAATTGTAAAATGCGAAATGAGTATATTAGAATATATATTTCTAGACTTGGCCTATTAATTTATAAACCTGGGACTAAAACTGATCCAAATAATTACAAGTTTAAAAATTTGAGCTCAAACCTGATACAATTTTAAATTTTACTATAAAATAAACTAAGTCAAACTTGGTCTATTGATTATTAGCATGGCTTAAAACTAGATTAATTGATTACAGTTTAAAAATATTAGTTTAAATCTAGTAATTTGTAGATCAGATTAGGCTTAAGCCTAGTAATACGAGTTAACCTGGTTTAATACCTGAGTTGATAGATGTGCTTACTCTCAGCTTGCATCTTTATAGGCTGGGCTGAGCTGGTTGATAAGAGAAGTATTAGAATTAATTCACTTTTAAAGCTTATTTCAAGCTAAAAATTGACTAAAAATTGGCTAGTTATTTATAATAAGGCAAAAAAAATTAGCTTATTTAGATGATAAATTAGCAAATAGTAAATATAATTAGGGTTAAAAATTATATTTTACAATCTTACATTTTCATGCAATTTTGTGTAATTTTGTGAATTTCAAATCTTTTTACTAATTACATTGAGACCGTTTTATTAAAACCTACACAAAATTATATAAATTTACATAAAATTATAATAATTTTACAATTCTAAATATATTATAGGTGACAAAAATATTTAAAGGTATAGATAATCTATCAACATAAAATATTAATATATCCAAATTTTACTTAAAAACAAAAAGAATAAATATTAAACAATTTAATATTACTAAAATTCAAATAGTTGGTAGCTTTCCTACAAAAATCTCTTTGTAATTTTTATTCAATTAGATCAAAAGATTAGATATAAACAATCTTTAAAGTTAGGATTAAGTCACATTAGAGAAGAAAATTTTTTTTAATATTTTGTGAAGATTTACAGATATTGAATTCAGCAAGAAACTACTTGATAGCTTTTAAATATTTAATATACTGTATATTGACTAATTTTGATAAAAAAAATTATATTAGCAAAAGAGTTAGCTTGGCCAACTGGCCTAAGCTTTTTTGAAATTGACTCTAACCTATGATTTTTTTGACCCATATTACTATTTAAGCTAGGTTTGGTTTAGTATATTTTGTACTTTAAAAAATGTTTATATTAAAAAAAGATTATTTTTAAAAAATAATTATTAGAAATATAAATATTAGAAAAATATAATAATTTATTTATATATAATAAAGAATTTTAGTTAGAATAACTAGTAGTAATCATTACCAGTATATAATTAGCCAATACTGATAAACTAAAAAAAGTTTTTATTTCATTTATTTTAAGGTTAGGATGAGGCCTGATATTTTAGCAAGGTGTTTAAAATATATGCAAAATTTAGCAAAGAATTTTTTTGTTAGAATGTTGAAAGTAGTTTCATAGATAAATTCTTGAGTTATTAGCATTTTGTTAAAAAAATCTTTATTATTATTACACAAATTGATTTGCACATTAAACCTGATCTTGCAAATCTATTGGCTAATTATATATTGGTAATAATCACCACTGGTTATAGATACTAAAATTTTATAATAAAATATATAAATTTAAATATAAAAATAAAATAAATTATATAGTATTTTTATAGTTGTTTAATATATTTTATTGCTTCTTAAAGATTTTTATCTATATTATTATTATGGTTATTATTATTAATATTATTTTCATCATTATTACTATCATTATCACTATTATTATTATAACTATAATCATTATCTATTTCTTCTTCTAAATTTTTTTCTTCCAAATCATCTTTAGTTAATTCATCATTTCTAGTTTTTTCTAATCTTTTTAAAAATGATTTAATATTTGAAAAAATTCCTTTTTTATAATATTCTAAACAAAAATTACATATTAAATACATATTATTATAACAATTTATATAATAA